TAAACCTAAACCTATAATCCATCTTAAAACCTGACTGAGAAGCATCTAAATAATCAGCCTCCTCCAGGCTCCTGACCTGCACAGCCTCTAGGCATGGGGACAAGACTTAGATAGCATCACTTGAGAAGCCCAGGACCGAGATGCATAATTGGGTTTCATGTTGATACTTGAACCCAAATTGACAGATGACCTCACGTAGTGGTTTCATGTAGATGTCAAGCACAAGGTAAGAGCATCGAGCCTTGAAGTACTCCATAATTAAGGAATTGTTAGTTCAACCTCACTTACACCCTGTCGACACCAACTGGAATTGGCCACAAAGATCACAGAGATTATTGAGAGGGCAAATCGTCACCTTCTTCAAAGCAGGTGGAACATCCCCTCAGTTCAAAGAAGCATTCACCACCATATGCATCTACCCACATGTCATCTTCTGGGAGGCCTAGTCAACCCAGAGGAACAAAGATCTAGGACACAGGTGGCAGAACTCGGAGGTGCCAAGGTGTCTGTCCCAAGAACTGACAAGATCAAGCTCTTCCCAGCTAGCCAAGCAAGTTCATATCTCAGACAACTCCACGGGATCTGAACAGCCAGAATCTAACTCTGAGTGACTTTATACAACAGTTTAATTCTCATAGTGACATTGCAAAGATTGCCCTTATCTAAGAGGAATCACATTGCCTTAAAGAAGGCAATGATCAATGATCTGCAGTTGCAATGAAAATGGAAATGGAAATTTCTGCCGCTGCTTTTATTGCCACAAAGTACTCCTTAATAAAAGCTCCCATGTGTCCTATGTATGGGATGTGGTGGCTCAGCGGCTAAGATGCTGAGCTTGTCGATTAGAAAGGTTGGCAGTTGGGTGGTTCGAATCCCTAGTGCTGCTTAATGGAGTGAGCTCCCGTTACTTGTCCCAGCTTCTGACTAGCAGTTCGAAAGCATGTAAAAATGCAAGTAGCAAAAATAGGAACCACCTTTGGTGGGAATTCCATGCGCCTTTGGCATTTAGTCATGCCAGTCACATGACCACGGAGACATCTTCGGACAGCGCTGGCTCTTCGGCTTTGTAACGGAGATGAGCACCGCTCCCAAGAGTCAGAAACGACTAGCACATATGTGTGAAGGGAACTTTTACCTTTACCTTTATGAGTCTTTGGTTGAATCTACTCTTTGTTTTCCGCCAGGGACAAAACTAACTTGTAATAGAATATAAACAATGGCTCATAGTAGAAGAATTTACATCTCAGTATATAATGGACTTTTGAAATGTTCTGCATTCTGATAGGTTTGTTCAGCCATCACTCTCACACCTGTGAACCACCTGTCCACGGAATGAATACTCCAAAGTAGAATATAAATTATGTTCTGTCGATCTCTTTTAATCATCTTCTTACCATACTTTGGAAAACCACTACACATTCAATATGTAACATGAACTGGAATGTTTCCTTTTGGAATATTTTGCAGATTCTGCTATTAAATAATTTCATTATATAACATAGTATATGTGTTATCAACTTTGGTTTGGCATAAAAAAATGAGCTGTAACTGAAAGTGTGAAATATTAACATTGGTACCTGTTCTGACCCTCCTCTTCCCACACCAACACACACTCCGAGTCAAAGATACTTTCCGGAATTTATTAACAGACAGACAGGTCCTTGGCAGCAAGCCGGCACAGATAAGTCATGGCAGCAATCCAACCTGCCAAGCTCACAATTCCAAGCTCACATTAGTTCCTGTGTTGACTTCTGCAAGAGGGGCGTGTGCACAAGCAGTCCTTATTATAGTCTGGAGAGGAGCCTAATGACCACCAGCTGAGTGCAATTTCCTCCTGTACTTACGCAACTGTTCCTGATGCCTATTAGCTCTTCGGTGCTGGGCAGCCAGGAACAACTCACTGCTGGCTTCTGGATCACTCCCCCTTGTCTCCTCCCCACTGGTTCAAGGCTCAGGTGCCTCCTGGTGGCCAA